ATGAGGGAAGGAGAATGACAGACTTCCCTTTCCTGCATAGATAAGACCACCTCTAAAACTCCTGGTCCCCCTTCTATCAAGTCGGTTACAATGGTAGGGCTGATGGGGACCGCTGGGCCTGTTGTAAGGCAGAGGGAGATTACAGGCGGGAAAAGGGAGGCTATTTTGTTGGAAAAAGAGCCCTTATTTTCCTTTGGATTAAAACAGATCTTTGGTTTCCTTTTCTGCTAATTAACTGCTTGGAATTGGGCACTCACAATTTTTCTTAATAACTTTAACTACTGCACCCTGCCGCTCTTTCCATGAGGGTGACATCTGTCCCTGTACCACAGCTTGAGTGGAAGTGGGTGGAGGTCTTGAGCTAGTCCTCTTGCTAGACCCATTTCAAATCATAACCACTGAGTTTAATGACTCATTTAAACTTTTAACTGTTTTCCCCCCCCCAACCACTCTCCTGCCTGCCATGGAGATCCAGTACAACTTACTAGAGATCAGGCCTGCGATGCTCCCAGGAGAACTTTTTTCTTAGCCGAGTCCCACATGCAGCATCTCTGCAGTTTAGGAGGCAGAAGCCTGGAAAAACTCAGGTCGGATCTGAGAGATGGGCAATGGGGAAAACCAAACTGCACTCTCCCTTTTCCTCGGGTCACGGAGCAACTCAGACACCAAGAGACCCTGTGAGGCTTTTCACAGGCTCTTCTCGAAAGGTGAGCCTCATAAGCAGGGGCGCATCTAGAATTTGGAAAAGGCGGTGCAGAGGGTGAGGTGCATCGCCACACCTAGCACAGCACGTGCCTTTCTCTGGCTGAAAAGAATTAGAGGCTTTACTAACGCTGCTCAGTGCTGCACATTATTGAGGAATGTCCCCTCTGGGAAACACCATGTATCTGGGTCCATGAAGGCAGTTTTCTTTAAGTGTTCCCCGGGATAACAGTTCTGGCGTGGTTTCGCACCCGCTGGGGTGTTGGGGCTTAAAGCCCACTTTATGGAAATGGGATATTCCTCCCTAGCTTGCTCCTGTGGCCGTATGGCTGAGGGCAGGTGAAACTTGGGGGCAGGGGCAACGCATAGGGGGTGCACGTGCACCCCGAGTGTGGCGGTGCACCCCCTACAAAAAGGCAGGCAGGCAGGCAGTTGCTGCAGACAGTTGCTGCTCACCATCCCACGCTGCTGACACTTTTGGCAGCATCTGTGGGTGGTCAGCTATCCCCACTAGTCTGCAGGTGGTCACCGACCCTTGCTGTTGGTGGGGGGGAGGGGGTGGCAAGCACCAACCATCAGCAGCGTCTGTGGGAGCTCCTGCTTACTGTTGCCACACTCCCACCGCTGCCATGCCTCCCAGACACCGGGGGCACGGGTCATGCATGCTTGGGGGCATCCGAACCCCAAGCCTCTGGGTTTGGGCCTGCACATAGGAAGCCCGCCAAAAGATGTTGGAAATAGCTGAAGCCCCTGGTGGGTGACACTTACGGTTTTGGACTTGATTTGGCTGACTTGGCTTGGAACACGAAACATTTCTTTAAAAAAAAAAAAAATAATAATAATAAAGTCCCCTCTACAAACTAAGGCGCAGATTAATAACTTTGAATTCAGGTAAGAAGGAGGCTATCGCTTGGCTCTGTGGATTTGCATTTCATAAATAACTGACTAACTCTGCTAGGGACCTAGGGTTGTATCATCCAGTTCACGTGGAATTAAGAACAAGTGACACTTTTTATTAGGAGTGAAAAACAGCCTGCACTGCCAGAGCCTGAGGAAAGGCTGGCGGATGGGGGTGGAGCGTGGAGACCGTTGAAGAGGAGGGCGCGTCGTTAACCGCCGTGGAACGCGGGCGCGGGGAAGAGTCTAATGAGCCCCCAGGCCAAGCGGCTCCGCCTGACTCGAAACGCGGCTGCCAGGCGGGCGTTACACTTCGGAGGCAGCAGGGATCATACAGGGCTTCAAGTGCAAGACAGCAGTCACCCTGCCCCCGCGGGAGAGCCGCTGAATCCGCAGCTCTGGGGGGGCTCCCGCCGCGGCTGCTGGCGCTGGAGCCGGGGGTCCCCCTGGACACCCCGCAGTCCTCGGGCGCTGAGGTGAGCAGGAGCCCGCCGGAAGTTGCCGGGATTAGACAAGAAGTGCCTCTGCCCCACGCTCGTCCACAGCCGCCCTGGCCGGGCCCCGCGCCGCAACGCAACGCAACCCGCTGCCTTAGTGACACGCGGCTCTGATGGCCAATCGGAGCTCTACGTTCCGCGAGGCTGCGGATCCGCCCCCTCCCTCAGCCGTGACCAATCAGAAGGACACATTCCTCCTCCCTTTCCTTTCCTTTTTTTTTTTTTTTTTTTTTTTTTAAATTCTCCTCCCTTTCCTGACGGATGGGGACCGTGACCAATCGGAGCATGAGAAGAGGTCTACGCTATAGCTTCCCTCCACCAATCGCAGCTAGAGAGAGGAGAACGTAGGGGGAAATGGCCTGGAGCGGGAGGGGGAAGTGACCCCTTTCCCTCCGCGGGGCACCTCGCATTGGCTGGACCAATGAGTGGGATCGTGGCCGCCCGGAGCGCGGGTCCCCGGCGGGGGAGGGGCGGCGCCGGCTGGACCCGACACGGGGCTGGGCGGGGCCTGCGCGCGGGCGCCTCTGCTCTTAAGGTGGAGTCGCGCCCCTCGCACGGTGCAGCAGCTTGGCAACCCGGGGCGCTGGGATGAGCTGGGCTCCCCCTCACTAGAGAAGTAGGGCGGGGAGGGATCTCAAAGGGGTCGTCTAGTGCAGCGTTTCTCCACCTGTGGGTCGCGACCCAAAAGTGGGTGGTAAAAATGGGAACAAACTTTAAAAATGAATTCTCCTTTCAAGGAGAAAAATGTGGGGAAATGATGGCTCTTCCCTTGCCAGGGGATGCTTAGGGCTCCCCATGCCCCAGGCACCCACCCCCTGCCCCTCTCACGGGGAGCAGTGGGTGGGGACTGGCCATCGATGTTTACAAATGGGTCCTGGTACAAAAAGGTTGAGGACCACTGATCTAGTGTCCAGTGTTGGGCTGGTGGTGTGTCAGGTGCGGCAGCAGGGGCCTGCGAGGACTGGATTCGTACAGTACCCCACACATGCAGTGGGATGGAGTCATGGCCCCCATAGGGTGGGATAGGAGGAGCTGCCCAGGCTATATGTCCCGCCACATGTTCTCCGAGTGTCTATCCTGGATAGGCCTCATCAGCCAACTTCAGACACAATCATGGAAGACAATCATCCTCAACTGTGGGATTGCCAGAGAAAACAAGGGGAGAGGCATAGCCATGGCATGCCATAGTCTCAGGCTCATATATTCAACTGCAATGTGGTGGCATGTTATGACCGGGTGTGAGGGCTACAGGGCTTTCATGCCCATGTTGTCAAGGGGAGGCGAACTGTACTGTGCAGAGAAATGCAGCATAGCTGCAGGATCTGGACATGATCAAGGACCCTGTGGTTGTACTGACAAATCATTGCTTAGTGATTCTCAACTGGGGAGGGTCAAGATCTTGAAAGGGGAGCAGTGCCACGTTAGCACCATTTGGTGTGCAAACCTAATTCCCATGATAAACCCAGAACTATCAAATCACAGGGTCTCAGATATTCTGACCTGTGTTGTCTGAGTTCTTGGCAGCAAAAGAATTTGCTCTTGTTGGTTTGTCTGTTGTCCAGAAATGAGGGAACACAAGCTAGCATTTTCTCAGGGGTGCCACAAGACTATCAAGGGGTGACGAGTCTGGAAAGGTTGAGAACTGGTTTAGCAGAAATGCAAACCTTGCCGTTTTTCTTGGGAGATAATAAGACAGGTTATCGCGAATGGGCCCTGTTGCACCAGAAGGCTATGAGATAAACATACTTGGATTTGTGAGAGTATTACTTGGGATGTGAGGGTTTCAGTGCAGGATGTGAAATTTCTTCACTTATAATTTGAATGTATTAACTAGGAGGACGAAAGTACAACGTAGGAGGGTGTGTTGCTGTAGGGGAGGGGAAATAATTTCACGCACAGAGTTAAGTTTCTGGACTCGATCTCACAAGGTCCCTTCCAGCCCCTAATGTCTATGAAAACAATTAGGGCATTGAGGGACATTAAATTTTTGTTGGAAGGAAACAGCACTTGCAGACATGGAGGCCTTTTTCTTGCAAAAATAAGTGCCTAAAATGTAGATTCCTAATGGGTGCATAGGCACTTGCCTGATACTCAGAAGTGCTGAACACCCTGCAGCTCCTATTGGTAATAGTGAGAGCTGTTGGCGTTTTTGAAAATCTGGGAAACACGTAAAGGACCTAAAGTGCATGACTTTGGGGATTCTGTTTTTGAAAATAGCCTGCACTATCATAGGCAGGAGAGATAGCGGTAGGCAATACAGTATGATGGACAGAGTGGCACCACTAGGCTATGAGGGATGTCAAATGTAAAGCCTATGAGCGAGACCTGACCTTGCAGAGCTCCTACAGGGGCCAGTGATTCAGGGTTGGGGCCCACCACTGAAGTCCAGGAAATGAAGGAGGCATGGTAGCAGGGGCGAGTGATAGCTGTGTTAACCTCTATACCACTGTTGCTGCTTGCTCTGCTGCCACATCCAGTTCTGACCTGCAAGTTGCTCTGTGGGCCAGATCCAGCCCAGGGAGGGACAGGTGAGTTTGACAGCCCTGGACTATGTGATTCTAACAAGGAAAATCGAGTCTGGGGACATGGGTCTTTACCATTTCTAAGGAAAAGTACAAATAAAAATTCCCTCCTGTCAAACTCAGAGTAGCTAATATAGTTTTAAAAAACTATAGTCAGGGGAGATAAAAGTGTTTGGATACCTCCAGTTTACACGAGATTACAAGGATACCTGTTTGCAGTTAACTGAAAATGGAGGAAACAGACCTTCTTTGGTCAGGATGCAAAAATTGATCCTCTTCCATCTACCACAAGCTTTCGTGTCATGTCTGCCAAATAACAAGTTACCTCCTACATCTTCCTGGATACCAGAAGCCCCAACTGTCCCCTACCCATCTGTCAACTCTTGCTTTCTCCAGAGAATATTCACGATTTGGCCATACATCTTCTGTACAAAAGTCTGTGGCGCCTTGAAAATTTGGGGACAGCATGAAATACCTGGAATGTACTATAAAAATAAATGATAGATTCTTCCTCCGCCATCTGTATACCTCCATCAGTTGTCTTTTGTCTTAGCTTGCGAGGTGGGTCTTTGGGGCAGGGATCATTTTGTTCTCTGTATATGACTTGTCCATGATGGGGGCTTTTCAACACTCCCCCAATACAGGTAATTTGGCTGAGCCTTGGTGGGTTTTATGTGCAAGGACATTTCTGTGTTTGAGTCCCTGTTTATAACTATACATAGATCGATTTAATATTTTCAGGGATCTTCAAACATTCCATGCATTAGTGGCCTGAACTCTTGTTTCTGGGGAAAACCAAAGAGGGTGGAAAAGAAGTGCAAGGATCACCTGCCATCTGTTTATTACTTCCAGGCAACCATGCAGTTGGCTAGAGATCAGTCAACTGGCTGAGGACACCCATTAATGCTTTCCAGAACAACGATGCCCCTGCTCATCTTCCCACTAGAGTTTAACATGTTGAAATCTGGAATGATTTATGTCCCAACCAAATAATTACACTGGTGCAACAGGGAGAATGGTGGCATATGCACAACCCCTTGGAGGGGGAAAAATGGGGAAGGGAAATGAACACAGTTTCTGGCAGGGGGGAAAGGTGTCTCACAGAGGACTGACTGTGGGGAGAGGGGGATGGAGGGACAATCAGAGCCATGGGGAATGGGAGGAAAGGGGCTGCACTCAGCTGCTGAAGAACATTGGGACAACAATATATAGGGAATGGGGTGTGTACAGAAGTCTGTACGCTGGGGATAGAATGGAGTGGGAGCACACAGAGTCCTGTCACGGGGTGCAGAGACTGGGAGCCCTGGTATAGGGTGAGGAATAGGGCCACTGGAGTCTTGGAGAGGTGGGGAAGAGGGAGAAAGGAGGGAAGCAGGGAAGGTGAATGGCTGGTGGGGGGGGAAAGCAGGAATAGGACAGACAGAACCACTGGGTGTGACATACTGGGTGGGAAATGAAGAAAATTATTCAATAAATGGCCCACAGACCCTGAGAGAGATCCCCACCTCCCCTATAATGACCGTATTCACTTTTAATTACCATTAGCCTTCCTTCTGAATTTACCTGAAAGCTGCCATAAGATTGCCAATGTGCACCTACGTGTTGCCCAGCCGCATGCCAGCCTGAAACTCCCACATGGGATGGGAGAGATTTATACAAACGGAGAGCACTTGCAGGGACAGCACGGCAGGGCGTGGGAGACCATGGCACAGATATGCATGGGGGAATTAGCTGGCAGCGCCAAGGATGAGAACACCACAGTGAAAAGGTGCTTATGCCATGATCAAAGAGAGATTTCTTTGGGTTTTGCACCACCAGGGTAAGGGTGAGAGATTGTGGCAGAGGTTTGTCAGAGAATATTATCAGATGGTTTGGAGAGGGGTGGGGGGGAAGATTATACAGTGAGAAGCTGCCACACAACCCTCCACCAGGTGGAGGGGGACCAAAGGGGTGTAGTTATCACCTAGAGCTACCAGCAGGGATGAGGGGAAACATGTTTCAGGTATTGTACCTGGCAGTCATACAAGAGGATTGTTTTAAAGATTAAAAATAGGTTGAAGTCAAGGTAGCCGTGTACCTTATAGACTAACTGAGTCAAAGATACATAAGTTTTTGTGAGCCCGGTTTACCTCACGAGACCTTTCTTGCTTTGGGCAGGGACTTGGACTAGATGACCTCCTGAGGTCCCTTCCAGCCCTGCTTCTCCAGGACAGGGGTTTCCAACCCCCAGGCCGCAAAGGGTTGGCATCCAGTCCACGGGAGGGTTGTCTGCCGGACTGGAAGTCTGGAAGTAACCGGTATACTGTGGACCGGCAGCCAACCCTTTTTTATACTGAGAATTAAAAAGGGTTAGCTGCTGGCCTGCAGCATGCCGGTCACTGCTGGTCCACTGTTTGCCGGTCCACACCCACATCCAGTCCACAGTTTGCTGATTCACAGCATAAAAAGGTTGGGAAACCCTGCTCTAGGATTTCTGTGCAATTTTGTTAACAGAGTCAAGGACTGTATTAAAATGGGGCTGAGTGAAATGTACTGGTACTACCGAACACAGACGAGAAGGATGAGAGAGAAATGGCAGACCTCACATGGTGGAGAGGGGTCTGGCATCGACTTTTTCAGGGGGGGCCCTCTGAGGAGGGCAGTGGCTGGGGGTATGGGTATGGAGATGGGTGCGTGGTGCAAACTGTGTAATGGGGTTTTTTTACATCAAGAACTTGGTAAACTGCTGCTCACTGGGGCACCCCTGGGAAAGACCAGGAGCAATGGATACAAACTCCTGGAAGGCTGCTTCATGCTCAATTCCAGGAAAAACTCCTTCACAGTCAGTGGAATAAACTCCGGTGGTGGTGCAGTCGCCTACCCTGGAAATCATCAAGAGGAGACTGGACAGTCACCTCGCTGGGGTCACTTGACCCCAGTTGTCTTTCCCTGCCTAGTGCAGGGGGGCTGGACCCGATGTTCTACAAGGTCCCTTCCAGCCCCTAACAACTATGAATGGTTTAACTGTTGGAGTGTGCTTTGATCTGCGCGTCAAGATCATAGATCTTTAACTGATCAAATCATGCCAAGTGAACCGCAGGGGCTGCATGGCACAGTGTTGGAGGTGCAGTTTTATATATATATATATATATATATATATATATATATATATACACACACACACACACACACACACACACACTCACACACA